TTTCTTCTCCGACCTTCCTCTTTCTATTTTCCCTCCCCTCTTTTCCTCTGTTTTCCTACGGTGAAAAGCGGGTAGCAGCCGACAACCCTTTGTTACCGTGCCTTATCTTAATTGCTTTCACGGGTTCCCGTTTAGATCAATACACACAGCAGCGGCGGCGGCGTTCCGCCGCCCTGCCTGCTGCTCCCCGTGTTGCCTCCACGGATCTAAATTATCCCAAGGGTTGTTTCGACGAGGGATTTTCGATTTTCTCTTTTCACCCTCTCCTACACGCGGGAATATCTTGCATATTTTAGGACCCCGAATCTCGCCTCCTCGTCCATCTCCATCCGATTTATCGCGAGCGACCGGATACGTTTTCTTTTTTCTCTGGAGATTTATCTCTCGAAGCTATTGCGCGGTTAAGATTGTTATGGAAATATATCTTATAGTATATCTTTGCAGCTTTATATTTCGAGGAGGATGATCTGTTTTGGTTAGACAGGAGATCGATTACGCGTGCTTTACGAGCACTAAATGACCGTTTTTGAAATTTCCTTTAGAGTCTCTTGTATACAAAGTTATCGCCGTATGACTTTGCACAAAATTCGGCGTGGATATAACCGATCACACATTATTGTAGCACAAGAAAAATATTTTGCTTAATATCCAATTAGGTAAAATCTCTTTCTATATTATAAGATACAAATGTTTTTTTGACCGCTCATAGGTAGGAACGGGTATACATGAAATGTCGGTGAAAAATCCTTGGACGATTTTCTAAACGGGCCGAACTTCGTCGTTATATAACAGGACGTGAATTAGCCGGGCAATTAGCCCGATCTTCAACGGGGTGTCATATTAATGCAGTTCGCCCGCTAACGACCCTCGAAAACGACGAGCGCGCCACGTTTCGTATGCGGCCCACTGTTGCGTTTCGACGGACGCCGCGTGACGAATCCTTGCGTCTGGAGAGGGGGTGATATAGGGAAGGAAGAGAGGGGGAGGCGAAAAGGCAGAAGACCGTGTCTCAGTCGTAAAATGTTAACTGCTAGTAAAACTGAGTTTACGCGCTTGTAAGGACCCCCGCAGGAGGTTGGCAGTCTTTGCGTCGTCGGTGGTACCCTCCCCCCCTTAATAGCCAGATTATTGCCCGTAAGCCACCCCCGATTACTTTCTTCCCGCTCGATACCCGAAAATAATTTTCGGCCGAGCGGTTAATTTCGCCCGCTCCACTCGAATTGTGTTTGTGGAAAGTTCGAATTTTTTTTTTTTTTTTTTTAATTGCGTTTCTTGATCGATCGTTAAATTGTATTTGCATTCAACCGCCAAATATTATTTTTCTTCTTTTTCTTTTCTTTAAATTCTAATTCTAATTCTTCGCGTGCAAGCGATTAAAATTGATGTTGTGAATATTGTGAGATAAATTTGAGAAAAAAATTGCAATTAAATTTCGTTCGGGACGAAAAGTGTTTTGTTGAAAATTGGCCAATTGGTTTATAGATATTAGGCTTCGTACACATTTATTCAATAATTTATAGATAAATGGGAAACGTTGTTACGTTATGCTGATTGCACGTGCATTTGTTCTTTTTTTTATTTAGAATTATTCATAAACGGGGAACGTAATATTAGATAAGTCGTAACAGGTTGAAGCAATAGCTAGTCTTATTACTTGTCGTTCGTCACGAAAATATAATCGACAACCAGGAATGTATTTCCCTTTTTTTTTTTTTTTGCATGACGATGCATTTGTGTTCATTAGACAACGGCCGTATGTTAATTTTTGAACAAAAAGGAAAAACGAATAGTTGGGCTCGATCAAGTATCGATGGAGAGAAGCGAAATTTCAATCGTGAAAGAGATAAAGATACTTGGAAAAGACAATTTCGTAATCTATTTTAAAATTCAAATCCGTTCAACTTGTTTCTTAATTTTTTGGATCGTGCCCAACTCGAGTGTCTCGAAGATTTTTATACATAGTTCTTTTCATTTCATCACGGATCCAATATTAATTGCATCTACTTATCCAAAATCTCTAAAATATTTTTTTTTAATTTAAATATTAATCTTTATGAATTTTCTTGAAGAAATTATTCTTGTATCGATTGTAGTGGAAAATTAATCGAGAAGCTTCGCGAGATTTTCATTACATTTTTATTGAGAAGAAAAAGAAAGAAGAATTTAGATTCAAAAAATTATTTGAGACAACAATCCTTGGACAATAATTTAAAAATTGGTGTTTTAAAATGCAAAATATAATTATCATATCATTAGATTCAAATTTATCTACTTTTCATCAAAAAAATAATCTAATTTTGAACTACGATAATTGAGTCTCGCGTTGCATCTTCCTTTCCTCCAGATAGATTTGTCTATCTACTCTTACTGGCAAAAAGTCTTCTTCTTCCATCGAATAAACGAAAGATAACGTCGATGGCTCGAGATCTTTTAACTTTCAATGGAACAACTTCTTCCTTACGAACGTCGCCATAAACGTACGTTTTATTTCGTTGCTTCCAACGATACTGGCCGAAGGTTTTTCATTTTTAATTACCCACAGTAGCGTGAAAAGTTGGTTGCAACGAAGTTTTAACGATATCCTCTCGACTGTTGTTAACCTTCCCTCAAGTCGTTCTTGAAAACTACTCGTTTGCAACATCTTACGTTATTTCGCATCGAATGGAAATACTTTTTCGTATCTATCTCGCCAAGTGTTTGGTGAAGAAGAAGGCTGGTGTAAACCAATCTTATCAGAAGGGTTAAAAAATATCCAATAAAAGTATCTCCAAACATTCGCGAAGGAATAAATTCGAATTTGAATCAAGATGTAATTGTATTTAATATATATAAACAGGCAGGCTGACAAAATCATTTGATCTGGAATAACATACAATTATTAATATGATTAATATAATTAGATATCTTTATTAGCTTGCGTTCTTACTTCATTTGAACTTGAGAAAGATTGATGTAAAGATCAAGGTAAAACTTGATTGATAATTGTAACGTAACAATATTAGATTCGACTTTGTGAACAATCATCAGACGTATCGATTCTCGTTTGAGAACTTGAGAAGCTGAATTGTTGTTAGCATAAAATTTCTTCTTCTTTTTAACAAGATATATTTTTTTTACACATTTTTACAACAACCTCGCATTGACGCGAGAGACCTTAAATCTTGCAAGAGGCTTAAGAGGCGTGCGAAAAGTTTCTGAAAACGATTCCTTCAAAACGATGGAGGAGACAGAGAGAGATTCATTAACGAACAGGAAGGCAGACCGTAACATCTTTCTCAAAGAAAACGGTTCCCCAGTGATCGACTTTGTGTCTTCACCCTTTCACTCGGCTCCCTGGAGGAATTTGAAACTTCAACCCCTTTTGCCGAGACTGCACCCCTAATTGTTACACTTCGTATAAATGCATTAGTTCCGCGCATTCGTTTCACGGTCCCACGAATCCCGGGCAACTTTCACACCCTTCTTCGCCTCTCTTTCGTCTCTGGAGACTTTTTTTTCTTTCCCGAGGAAACGCGGTGCCCGGAGAGACAGAGGGAAAAAAAGTTCTAACGAATTTAAATTACGGCTCAAATAACCGCAAATGTGATTAATTCAATCCTCAAATCTCAGCCGAGGGATATACGTTTGGGCACACGTTGTACATTTGGAAAAGCTTCGAGGTAAATCTCGAATTTTGGACGAAATAATTTATAATAAAACGTGTGCAAATTGTTTTCATTCGACGAATCTGTGCTCCTTAACCCTTTCTCTATCGTGGATACTATTTAAGTTAAAATTTAAATAACATGCACTAAATGTGTACATGTAAAATATAGTTTATCAATTTCTCTTCAAACTCTGGATTGATCTTTGTTACTTCAAGAAGTGAAAAGATATACAATTGCATAATAATTATCCGATAAATAATACGAAAGAATTCCTCGAATTCAGAATTTAAAAGCGACGCTTTACTTTTCTATTCTTTTATTCCTTTCCTTTCCACCATTTTTTACTCCATCGACAATTGTATCCATTCACCATTTTCCGACACAACCCTTTTCAGTCTTCCTTTGAAACGGTTACTTTTAAGCCTCGCTCATTGTTCAACGGCCAACTTTCCCGCTCGACAAACAACAACAACACACTCGTCACTATTTAAAATCGCGAGAAGAATAATCGGTTCCGTGGGGAGGAAGTGTATATCTCGCGGCAGTTTCCCGGCCTGTCGTTCATCCCCCTGCTTACTCGTGCGTGCACGTGTTGGTTTATGTATCAAGGAGGGGCGGTGAAAACTGTCGAAAGATGCATCTTCCTGGAAGAGCTTGTGACACGAGGAACAGGAGTGAAAAGAGAAAGTGGTCCCCCCCTCCGTTCTCCGCGGTTTTATGGGTCGTCCAGCTCCATCATGCGCCGTAAAAGTACAATAAAACCGGTGTCGCAACCGGTGGAGAAACCACCCCGTTCCCAAAGCACTGCGTGCATCGGCCCTTAAGACAAAAAGGAGCGAGGGGATCGATGGAGTTGGATGAAGATGACGGGCGGGCATAGTCGAAGTAAAATTGATTCTTTTATTGTAGAATTGTCATCGAGCTCTTCTCTCGTCTCGATTTCCGAACCTTTGTTTAAGCAATTATATTTTATAAAATAATGAGAATAATAATACTTTTTTTTCAATTATATTTATAATTTAGCAGTGTTGTGTTTTATAAAATAATGAGAATAATAATACTTTTTCTTCAATTTTTTTTTTTTTACATTTTCTTATTCCTTTAGGAAGGAAGGTTTTGTTATATTTATAATTTATGGCAATTTGTATGTAATGAAAAATTTAATATTGTTGAGATAATAGTTATATTGCTTTCTTCTAATTTATATAATCTTAAGTAGTTTTTTGAATTTATTTTTATTTCCTCAATCCTCGTATTCTCTTAACTTTTATCATATCAAACCATTGATAAATAAATAATTATTTACAAATTATTGTAATCATGTAATGGTTAATCGTTCGTTACGTCGAATTAACATTTTTCCTATCTTTTGTTGTTACAGTGCTGTCTTTAAGAAATACTCAGGAAGAGGAACCACCGGATCCCCAATTAATGAGGTTGGACAATATGTTGATCGCAGAGGGTGTTGCTGGACCGGAAAAGGGTGGCGGTGCTGGAGCGGCGGCCTCTGCAGCGGCTGCAGCCGCTGCTGGAGGACCACCTGGACAACCTGACAACGCTATCGAGCATTCGGACTACAGAGCCAAACTTGCCCAAATTAGACAGATTTATCATCAGGAGTTGGAGAAATACGAACAGGTTTGTGTAAATCTATCTATTATATTTCTCTTTCTTTCCTATCAAATTTATGGCATTGCTATTAATTTATTAAATAACACGAACAGGAGAGAATAGAATATAAATACATTGAAGATTCATTCTTGATGATATGTATAAATATTAAATATTTTATATTTGGTATGATTCTTCATTCTTCGATTAATGTTTTTTTTTTTTTTTTTGCTAAGATTTACATCCTTTCTCCTGGGCATATATGCGATTCATTAAGAATAGAATATTCTATTTAGTTTGTTTTTTTATGAAATTGCAATTTATCGAGAGAAATTAGAAGACAAACTTAACTAACAGCGTTAATAAGTCTGAAAATTTCTTTATATACTTTTTTTTTATCTTTGCGTGTAATTTGAAACATAATCACTTCTTTCTATATTATTTTTAATTAATTTATCTCAGAGGAAAAAAAAATATAACGAAATTCACAAACGATTCTTTCAACTTTTATCAATAACCGCACGATCTTTAATTAAAGCATTCCATCTAGTCGAATAGTTTTTTTTTCCCCCCCAAGATATATTACGATATTAATTAAAAATTCTAAAGTGTGAAACTTCAAAATTAAAATGCTCGTGCAACAAACTTTGGCACAATTTATTCATCCTAAGAAAACAAAGAAGATGGATATTTCGCAGTGGTTCGCTTAAATTCGATTAAATTCGTACAAAAAAAGGGGGGGAGGGGGGAAAGTAAAATGTTTCCGAATGACCCGATGGTGATCGAATCGAAGGGGTCGATGTGCAGTTTTTGCGCGGAATTTTTTTTCCCTACCCCTAGAGCAACGCGATAAGGGGCCAGTTAAGGGTAGTGGCGGGGAACCAGACTCGTCTCTGTTCGACGATTTGCGTGCTAATGAACCGACTCACTCGCGCTAAGTAAAATCTCGCGTGTCGGCCAACCAGAGAGTTGTATCGCGGATCTCTTTAATGCCAGCAAATTCCCTATGGGCTATTGTGTGTTTCGCGGTCGAAATTCAACGAAATTGTAAAACTTTACAACTACCTACGTGTTATATATATATATATTATTTTTTTTTTTTTATAAAGCAAGTAATATTTTCCATCTACCGATATTATCTACTTCTATCTGGTTACAACTTGTTAACACTCTGATTTCTTCTCAAGTATCTCTTTGGAGATTATTAAAATCATTGTTGCAATTCGAAGAATAGAAAGTTTAAGTCTAATATGTATTTTATTTTACTTATTAATTATTAATGAACAATATTTTCTTTATTATTTTTTAAGTTAAAGTTTGAGGTTCTTATGGGGATATTTTTCCTTAAAATCGTAACTTTTATTTTATTATTATTGTTTCAAATGAGCGATACGTAATTTTACGGGTATCAAACGGAATTGGAACTCTTGTTATTCAATCGTTTCGAATCTTTATAAGAAATCGATATATTCGAAATCTGTTATTATTTTGAATTTGTAATGTTTTCTGATATATATTTGATACGTTTGATATTAGTAAACATAATATAATGATCTTGATGCTCGATTCTTTTCGATTTGTATGTATTTATTAAATATTCGAAAATTCCTGAAAATACCGATATTCATTTCAATAACTTTTGTCGATTGTTCATTTTGTAAGAGAAATGTATAGTCATGTATGATTAATGAGCCCAAAACGTGTGTATATATATATTTTCATAAGTGAAGAAATATAAGAAGAAAGCAAATCTTTCGTCAGATAATATAATATTCGTAAAAAATGCAATATTAGAAAGTTTTAAACCAAATAAAATGAAATAATAATATAAACAAATTAAAAATAAACTAAAATTGTTACATATTTGACATCTTTCTCAATTAGATTCTACGCATACAAATTATATAACATGTAAGAATCAATTTCAAAAATTGATTTCAAGCGAAAAGGAAACTTCAATAAAAGATAGATATTAAAATTTTGAAGCTATTTTACCAATGATTTCGATTCTGACTTGAAAGATATATCTATACTTCTAAATTTGTAGAATAATTCGAATCTTTCTTCTTCAAATTCGAATCTGATAAAATTATTTCGACTTTATTTACAACTTGGTCCAAATCGCTAATGTTTATAGATTTTTCACTCGGGTTGTTTTGCATTTCCAGTTCCAATCGTAAAAAATACAACGTTATTTACCACGCGCATATTCAATTCCTTCTTCATTAATATGCGCGCGCGATTAAAACGAAAAGCATCGATGGCTTGTGTAACGCGCATGATCCCCCCTCCCACCACCAACACACTTATCAACGAATAAAACCATATAATTCTTTTTAACGCCTCTCATGTTTTCCCTTCCTTTCGCATACTTTCCAAATAACCGTGGGCCCGTCACTCGTATAACCTCGTGTATTCGCTATACATAAATACCGAATCGCTCGCACACGTTAGTTCAGCGAAAAAGAGAAAGAGAAAGAGAGAGATAGAATAAGCAGAGCGGTCATTGGAAGGGGAGGAGAGAGAGAGAGAGAGAGAGCGTGCTTTAATTGCCACACCCGTTTCAACCCTATATTTCACCGTATGTCAGCGGTCTTGATGTTTCCCCGCAGTAAATACGCACACCCTTGCTTTGAGGTCCACCGACGTGTATATGGATGCGTGTGGAAATTCTTTGTAGACGCAACAATATGGTACGTGTGTCGAGAGGTATGCATTCGCGTGCATTTCACGTTGGTGAAACTGCAGTTACCAGGGGTAGTTGACGCTCTATCGATAAGCCTGGCCATTAACAAGTTTTAACCCCGTTCCCTTTTTTCCTCTTTCTCTCCCTTCATCTAAGAGTCGAACAGAGCAGAGTATCGAGTCGGTGATTTCGTTTTACTTTTCATTCTCCGGTTTTTCTTTTAACGTTCAACGACACGGCTGATCTTTTATCCCTTTATCCCAGATTAAATTCATTTCGTTTTTCGAGATAACGTCGGAGCGAGATTCACCGAGCGAAATAAAATCCATTTTTGTTTTCTTTTTTTTTCTTTTTCTCTTCTTTTTTTTTTTTTATCATGACTCTATTCATACACCGCTCGTGATTGTTATTTAAACGAACAACTATTGTATGCATACAATCGAGATTGGTGTTTCGAATAGACCATGGTTGCACAGTTTGGCGAGGCTGGATAATACAGTGTTTCGAGTTTTGGCTGGAAATATATTGCCGCGCTTAAAAGTAACGTTATTACGGTTGATATCGTCGTGGCCAAAAGTTTTATCATAACCGAAATTTACTATTCAAACTCCACGGGGTGGCCGGAGTCACTGCATTAGGGTGAACGTCTGCCTGACTATGCAAAATAGCGTGACAAGTACGAGAATAGAACCGCATCGAGTTTTACGAGATCGCGTGATCACGGCCAACAAACATCGTCTGGCATGAATCTTACTGGTGCATACACTCCTTTATTCTGTACGCTTTTTAATGGATACAGATTTCAACTTTTTCTCTGCTTTGATGTGCCTGCTCGTCTTTTAATCATCATTTCTTCGTAAGTTTGAAGGAATCAAAACATTTCTTTCGAGAGACTATTCATTTCAAAACATCTTCGAAAATAAAGTTAATGCGAAATCAATAAAATCAGTGATTTTATACAATTTTTAGAAATTTATTTTTTGAAATTGATTGAAATTGTTCAAATCGTAAAATCTTTAATAATGCTATTACTTTGAAATCATATACATTATGTTCATAATTCTCAATTTTAATGAAAATGAAAAAAATTATTATTAATATATCTATTAAGGAGAAATATGTTTAAAGGAAATTAAAATTAAACTTTTTTTTTAGTATAAAGTCGATTTCATAACAAAATCACATGAAATCACTACAGCATCTTTCTTTTGCATAACCTCTCAATTACTTCTATTCTATAGGCCAATATTGACAATATCCTCTTCCGCTTTTTGCGAGATTCAACCGGTCTTGTCTCACATGATCATCATAATTTGGCATAATAATGATCACAAGCAATACATTCATGAAAATTTCCGCAAACGGTAAATTCGATTATATAAGAAAGGGAACTGTCGTATATTGTGGTAACCGCAGAACAACCGCGGCAGACGTAACCGCGACCAGGTATATTTAGCAGCGTGCAGGTTGGAATTTCGATAACACTCGCGAGCCAAAAGCTTCGTGGTGCTATATCCTCGAAATACGTGTGCACTTATTAATAGTGTGAACCGCAACAAAATTAGAGCCACCATGAGAAATCTCATTTTCCACGAAGATAGATTAACGATTGTTACCGAAGTATTTGTCGGTTTTGCTATTTTAAGTAATCCACTTTAAGATTTTACAACGTATAAGAACAAACAATTGTTGTCAATTTTGGTTTTTTTTATAGTAGCAAAAAAAATATTTCAAAAATAAATAAACTATATATTATTTTAATCTATATTTATTTATTTGCACTTATTAACACTAATCTCATACCATAATATTATATTCTTATATCGTCTTTCTAACCTCACACGCACATTTCGATCATCTTTTATGACACTCTCACTTTTCCACCTATATCTTACTCATTATAGGTTTCTCCCTATAATCATGTACGGTCTCATTCATTCTCGTTCTTCGTTATATATTTAACGATCTTTAATTTTTCTTAAAATTTTATTATATATATAAAGAAACAATGTGTCTTGTCAATTTGCATCTTTTTTTACAATAGCAAAAAAATATTTAAATTAAATGAATTATATATTTATTTTAATCTATGTTTATATATTGCACTTAACACTAATCTTATTTTAATACTAATAATAATTTTATTTTAACATAATAATATTCTTTTTTATTATCGTCTTTCTAACACATCCACTTTTCGTCTTCCATGATATTCTTTCACTTTTCTATCCATATTTTATTTATTATACATTACTATACATTCCTATAATTATGTACGATTTCATTCATTTTCGTTCTTTGTTATATATTTAACGATCTTTAATTTTTTCCTAATTTTGTA